TATTTGAGGACAGGTATACCGGTTGCGGACAATTGAAAGGTATTCTTCAGTTGAATAATGAGAGTGAAGAAGAGTTGTTTCTGTGGGGCAGCCGTTCAAAGGCTTTCCACTCTCAGGAATTGAATGCAATATTTGAACAAAATTTCCTTAAGTCAACACTTATGGCATATTCTGAGGTAACATTTAAATTAGTTACTAACACTAACTATCATTTTACTATTTCGTTGTAATGATACAGAAATATTGAAGTATTTTTAAGTAAAATATTAAAATATTTATTACAGAAAGGAATTTCTGTAGAAGTGATCAAAATCAGTACAAAACAAGAAAGTAATGATAAGCAATGGTAAGAATTTATGGAGATTTCATATACTTTGATATAAAATTTCCAAATTGTCATCAATACTGACAAATAGTGGTTTATTAAAATGTGATTATAGTTTATACTACGGATGGGCACTGGCATCTCACGGCTCTGTGCATCCAATTCAAGACATTATATGTGATAAGGAGTTAAATGCTAACGAAGAAATATTTCCCAAAGATTTTAAAATCAAAATAAATGGAAAAGAAGTTATTGTTAGAGAATTAGTTGTCAGAGAGAATAATATTTGCGATTTCACTATCAATGGACACAAAAGTAGTGGATTTATTACACACAACAGTGATATATCTCCGATATTGAAAGAAATTAAGCCAAATATGGATTTAGTAGAGCTCTTTAGATCACAGGAATCGCAAGAATTAGTGTTGAGTTTTAGTGATAGAAAGGCATCAAATGAAAGCATAACCGGTGGAAAGGGATCATCACTTTGTTTGTTGAAGAGCTTAAGTCAAATGGATTTATTAAACTCATTCACAGTTCCCGACGGTTTTATTGTCACTACAAATGCATATCAACTGCTTTTACAAGAGAACCCTCTATTGAATCAAGCGATTGAAACTTTACAATCAATTTCATGNCAAAACATTCAACTCGTGTAAAGTCAAGAAGAATACCAGATCTGGTTCTGGGAGTCGCCCCTCCCTATAGCTCATCATTTCTCCCATTTTATTCAACAATTGTCTGAATTTATCCACACATTTGATATCAAACAGCTTTGACTCCTCCCTGTCGGCCACCGACCTCTGACAGGCCGGGAGTATCCAATTCTTGAGCAAATATTTTTGATTTCTTGTGATCGGAGTCTTGATTCGAGAAATGAGTTCATCTTTTGTTAGAATCACTTGATTTGAATTCTCTTTCAACGGAACCATCATCTGAAGGGTTGTCACTAACATCTGCTTATTGCCGGACCAAGTGATCGACATAATGTCCCACTCCTTATACCCTCTAAAGCCAAAGTTTTTAATAAACTCTTTGTACAGTTGTCCCGACTCTTCAGTATTATTCTCAAGCCATTGAAGAGCCTCTTCGGGAGTCATTTGTTTGAAAACTTGTGGCTCTTTAATGGATTTGGCGAGAGATCTCATGGCCGCCGGCACGTCGGCGCTCACTATATTATTGCCGGTCATCGACAATACATTCGCGAAATCAGTCAATAAATTGCTATTTGTTTTCACGTCTTGTGTGAAAATACAACAAAATATTAATCATTTAAACATTTTATTTAAATTTATGATCGTTTAAATAGATACCAATATTTCCTTTGGAGAGAATTGTTAATAACATTAAGTTATGAATCGACGATTTGGTAGAAAGTTTAATGTGAACGTCCAAACACTAAACAAATAGAAATATATTAAACTAAAAATTCTAATTAAAAGTCAGATGAGACTGACCTCTGAAATAAGTGTCACATTTTGGAGCAACACTTTAAACATTTCAATTGAATTGTTATAATTATATCCGTTTACAAAATCTAAACCATCTTTTCTTTTAATAAGAGATTTGAGTTCTTTCTTAGAGAATAAGCTCTTGAGAGCAGCCTTTTGTTTGGAAAGATTTACTTTGAAAGACGGGATACCAGTCCTCTCAAACGCATCCACTCTCAGCCCCTCATCTTCAACCGGGTGCCCAAACGCGGCCAACACTAATGATTTATGTGTAAAGCTTTCGTGTTCTTCGGGCGCAAACTCGAAGAATGATAGCTTTGAATCAATTCATATAATTAGGATTACTGCTAATATTCCTTGATGACTTATCATTTGACAAGTATTAAACTCTTTTTCATTATTTTAATAATTTATAATTTAAAGAATTTTCTTATAAAATAGAATATGATTTCAATGAATAAAAGAGATATTATTAAAAAGTAATTAGTCTTAAATTAATTAGTAATAAATATTTTCTCACATCTTTTAATGAGAAGAAGGCCGCGTAGTTATGAATGGTTACACTTTGACATAAACGCCTGTGCGGTACATATCTCAGTCCATATACATTAAATAAGTTGCCCTAGATTAATTATACAAAGTAATTACTATATAGAACTTCATTTAAGAACTTTTAAAGAAATTATAATTAAAATACCGAGACGTGTAACCACAAGGCTCTGGCCAGGGATGTCAAGTGCAATGGCGATAGTGCGCCCGGCATTACTTCACCCAAATTAGCCCTAGTATTATACTCGGTCTCATCGAGATGACCCGTGTCAAACTCGTGGGTCAGTTCCCATTCATTCAACGAGTGAAGGTGTGTGACTGGTCTCGACTGAAACAAATAATATTTGCTATCCTTTAGACCCCATTCGATATCGCGTTCACAACCGAAAGATTGTTGTATTTTGAGTCCAATATTTCCCAATTTTGTAATTTGTTGGTCACTTAAACAACATTTGTCTGCAACAGAAACGTTGGACTCGACTTCAGTTCCAGAGTCCGAGGTTTTGCTTATTCTTATCGCAGATTCTTTCGCTCCAATTACTATACTATCGATTGATTTGATAGACCTTTCCGTGTCATATGAATTGCAATTCATATCCACTAATAGACTAATGTTATCCGGGTTTATAGTCGCAGAAACAACACTCTAAAAAATGTTACATTTAAAAATTATTTAGTGAACAAATAAATAAATAAAACAACAATTCATTCATTACTTCTCCGATGCCATAATTAGCATTAATTGATATTTTATTAGGCATTCCAGTGATGGGATCACAAGTGAACATAACTCCGGCGACATCGCAATCAATCATCTCCTGAACCACAACAGCCATCGGAGTGTTGATTGTCTGTCCGTAACCTCTCTTATACTCGACAGCAATTATGTTGAATTGAGAGGACCAGCACTTCAACACACAATTGCATATATCATCCAAACCCTTAATACCTAAATATGTGGTCATTTGTCCGGCGGCTGACATGTCCTCAGAGTCTTCGCCACAGGCGGACGACCGGACGGCCACAAGAATATCGCCGTAATTGCCATTTGAGTCAAAATTCTTGAGCCCATCTCTAATGGAGTTCTTCACCAGAGATGGCATTTCGAGGTTTGAAAACATTTTCATTACATTCACGCACTCCTCCTGAAGATTGTGTCTTTTCTCTGACCTTTTAATTCAATATGAATTGTCAAATAAAATAATAAAATATTTTTTAAGCAACAAACCATGAAATTGATTGTAAAGTTTCAATCGCTTGATTCAATAGAGGGTTCTCTTGTAAAAGCAGTTGATATGCATTTGTAGTGACAATAAAACCGTCGGGAACTGTGAATGAGTTTAATAAATCCATTTGACTTAAGCTCTTCAACAAACAAAGTGATGATCCCTTTCCACCGGTTATGCTTTCATTTGATGCCTTTCTATCACTAAAATTCAACACTAATTCTTGCGATTCTTGTGATCTAAAGAGCTCTACTAAATCCATATTTGGCTTAATTTCTTTCAATATCGGAGGTATATCACTGTTGTGTGTAATAAATCCACTACTTTTGTGTCCATTGATAGTCAAATCGCAAATATTATTCTCTCTGACAACTAATTCTCTAACAATAACTTCTTTTCCATTTATTTTGATTTTAAAATCTTTGGGAAATATTTCTTCGTTAGCATTTGACTCCTTATCGCATATAATGTCTTGAATTGGATGCACAGAGCCGTGAGATGCCAGTGCCCATCCGTAGTATAAACTATAATCATATTTTAATAAACCACTATTTGTCAGTATTGATGACAATATGAAAGTATATTAAATCTCCATAAATTTCATTCTTACCATCTCTCATTACTTTCGCGTTTTGTACTCATTTTGATCACTTCTACAGAAATTCCTTTCTGTAATAAATATTTTCATATTTTACTTAAAAATACTTCAATATTTCTGTATCATTACAACGAAATAGTAAAATTTAGTTAGTGTTAGTAACTAATTTCAATGTTACCTCAGAATATGCCATAAGTGTTGACTTCAGGAAATTTTCTTCAAATATAGCATTCAATTCCTGAGAGTGGAAAGCCTTTGAACGGCTGCCCCACAGAAACAACTCTTCTTCACTCTCATTATTCAACTGAAGAATACCTTTCAATTGTCCGCAACCGGTATACCTGTCCTCAAATA